GAGAGAGAGAGAGAGAGAGAGAGAGAGAGAGAGAGAGGGGAGAGAGGAAGGGGGAGGGAGAGAGGGGGAGAGAGGGAAGGAGGGAGAGAGGGAGAGAGAGGGAGGGAAGGAGAGGGGAAGAGAGAGGGGGGAGGAAGGGAGAGGAAGGGAGAGAGAGGGGGAGGAAGGGAGAGAGAGGAGGGAGAGGGGGGAGAGAAGGAGGGAGGGAGGGAGAGAGAAAGAGAGAGAGAGGCAATAGAGCTCATGTGGAGGGACTTTTTATTAGGGGAAAGGGAATGGGAAAAGGAGGGAGGGGGAGCAGCAGAAAAGATAGGCGGGGTGGGGGTGGGAGACAGACAGGCAGAGAAGCAGAGAGACAGAGAAAGGAACAGAGAGACATAGAGAGATATGGGAGGTGGGCAGGGCCCTTTTAAAAGGGAACATAGTGAATGTGCACAGGTGGTGCTCTTAGTGGCTGCAGCTGAGGGTGTATCCTGTCAGAATCCCAAGGGCAGGCCAGTACAGGAGCCTGAGTACTAACAGTCCTCCCTTTTTATTTATTATAAAAAGGTGAGGAGTTAGAAAGGGGTGGCAGGTGAGTTAGGGTTGAGGACGCCATGTTTAAGACTACTTCCTGCTGACCTGGGGGGCACCTTTGGGGGACCTGGGAAAGCCGGGGTGCTGGCCACATCCTGGAGTAGTTGGGTGTTTCACTTCACTGTCCAGACTCCTCAGAACCATCAGGCAATGACTGGACCTGGCAAAATACCGTTCTTGGTGGATCTAAGTAGACTCCCCAGGGCTTAGAGCACCTGATCCTTTCCCATCACCACAGCATGACTCTGGCATGTTTGGTAGCCTTGCGCCTCAAGCTCTATGGCCAACAGCTGGTGGTCCTGCAATAACAGCTCATTAGGAATGGTCAGCGGGTCTCCAAAAACATCCCAATGGGAGCGAGGAGGTATAGACGATGGCATAGCTCCCATGAGTGAGGCAAAGAAGTAAGATCCAAAGGTCTGCGATTCCTAGCATCCTAAGAATTCAGAGAGGGTTGATTTCGAGACAGGCATCAGGCCACCCAGTGAGTTGTCATGCAAAGGGCAGGGGACAAATAGCTCTGAGCCTGAGTGAGCAGTGGTTGCCTAGTACCAGGACTTAATAAATCCAAAAGGTGAAAAACCACACTCGAGATAGTCCTCACTTGGGAAATAGCCAGGGGTGGGGAAGGGGGAATGGTTTTGGAAGGAGGGATCCAGTGATCCAGAGAAGTAAGGCTGTCATATATGGATGGGGTTCCAGGATCCTGGCATGCCTCAAACTGCCTGCAGGCAGGAGGAAGCACCAGAAGAGCCTTTCCCAGTCAGGGAACCAATGTTGTAATTTAAAAGTGGTGTGAGAAAGACACCATGCAACAGAGCTCACACAGAGAGGTTTTATATTAGGGGTAAGGGAATGGGAAGAGGAAGGAGGGGAGGGGGAGACTGGCCTCTGGGGACAGGAGCAGCAGAGAAAAGGAGAGGCAGAAAGACAGGCAGAGAAGGGGAGAGAGGAGGAGGGAGAGGGAGGGAGAGGGGGGAGAGAGAGATGGGAGGTGGGCAGGGCACTATATTTTAAAAGGAATATAGTGAATGTGCACAGGTGGTGCTCTTAGTGGCTGCAGCTGAGGGCGTATCCTGTCAGAACTCCAAGGGCAGGCCAGTACAGATGCCTGTATACAGCCTTGAACTCACAAGATCCATCTGCCTCTGCCTCCCAAGTGCTGGGATTATGGAGTGTGCTACCACTGCCCGGCTGAGGTTACCTATTTATATACTTCTCTCTACATATTTATTTTATGAGATAGGGCCTCATAAGCTGGCTTCAAGTGAGATATATAATTGAGAATGACCTTGAGCTTCTAATCACTCTGTCCCCACTGCTGTGTATCAACTTTGCAGGCATACACCGTCACTCTCGGTCTCTGCTATGTTGGGGATGGAACCCAGGGCTTCGTGCATGCTAGGAAAACATTTACTCTACCAACGAAGTCACATCCCCAGCTCCTGAATTAGAATTGTTTCATGCAGAAAAGCATTGAAGAAGGCTGGGGTGATGGCTCTGTGAGTAAAGCTCTTGTTACAAAGACCTGAGTTCAACTACTAACAACCCATAGAAAGATGGGTGTGGCTGAGCATGCCCCATAACCCCAGTGCAGGGGGAGGTGCATGAAGATAGGACTCAAACTGCAGGTTCATCGGGGGTACCTGTCTTATGGGAATAACGTAGGTATCAAGGGAACATACTTGGCATTCTCCTTGGTGCATGATTGCATGAACATCCACACACATGGGCACAGTTACATTCACACACATGCACACAAGTGCAAATACCGTACATAGGTACATCCATGCAAATGCAGTACACAGGCAAGTGTCACATACACAAAGCACACACACATTTGCATGCATACACACATACACAATATTTTTTAAAAGAAGAAAAATAGAAGAGGCTTCACAAGAGACTGTAGCTTGAACCCAGACATAGGGAGAAGGGATTGAGGGAGGAAATCCAGGAGTGCAAAAGCAAAAGACCCAGAGTAGATTTTTAATATTAAGTAAAAAAACAAAAACCCAACCAAACAAACAAACACAAACATGGGTTCCTGGAGAAAAACAAACAAACAAACCTCCAACCTTCTACATAAAGGAAAAGTGCAGACTGGAGAGATGGCTCTCAGTGGTTAAGAGCATTGGCTGCTCTTGCAGAAGACCCAAGTTCAATCTCCAGTACTGACATGGCAGCTCACAACTGTCTGTGATTCTAGGTCAAGGGGTATCTAGCGCCCCCTTTTGGACTCCAGGGATACCTGAACTCAAATACATGTACCCCCACACACGTAATTTGAACAATAAAATAAAAATTTTTTAAAAAGGAAGTCAAAGTAATAGGAACTTCAAATGGTGAGTCACATCACGTCCACAGTCCACGGCAGCAAGAGCTAATGTATACATGCTCTGCTGCAGGCTTGCTTATGCTCAGCTGCGCTTTCATACAGTGTAGACAGAGTTTTCCCTCAGAACCACCAGTCAGCTCCCAAATAATCACAAAGAGACTCAATATTAATTACAAATGCTCAGCCAACAGCTTAGGCTTGTTACCAACTAGCTCATACAACTTTAATTAACCCATATTTCTATTTATTTTCTACCAAGTGGCTCCATACCTTATCTCAGTATGGCATGTTCATCACCAGCTTCCTCAGCGTCTTCTCACCACTCCCAAGACTCCCCTCTCTCTCTCTCTCTCTCTCTCTCTCTCTCTCTCTCCTGCCTAGCTATAGGCCATCATCTCTTTATTAACCAATGATACAAAACGACTGTTCCATAGCAACATACAGTTCTAAATGCCATGCCTAGGGAATGCTGCTGCTCAAAAATGAGCTGGGTTTTCCCACACCAATTAATTTAATTAAAACAATCCCCCACAGGCATGCTCACACGCCAACCCAATGTAAACAGTCCCTCACTAAGGTTCTCGTCCCATGAGATTATAGGTTGTGTCGATTTGACATTTAATTGCAATGATCATACAATTTTCCCAAATATTATCAAAATAAAGCAAAATCTTTTTGGTGTAGATAATACATGTTCTTTAACCAAGCTGATTTTTAAATATCTGTGCATGTGATGTGTACATATATGTATGTATGTGCAGGTTAAAGTGTACAAGGTCAGGTGCATGCATACAATAACATGTTAACCTTCAGTATCTACCCTTGCCTCCTGTCTTGTGTTTTGTTTTTGTTGTTGTTGTTGTTGTTGGGTTTTGTTTTTGTTTGTTTGTTTGTTTGGTTGGTTGGTTTTTCGAGACAGGGTTTCTCTGTGGCTTTGGAGGCTGTCCTGGAACTTGCTCTTATAGACCAGGTTGGTCTTGAACTCACAGAGAACCCCCTGCCTCTGCCTCCCAAGTGCTGGGATTAAAGAAGAGTGCCACCACCGCCTGGCTGTTTTTTTTTCAAAGATATATTTATTATGTATACAGTGTTATGTCTGCATGCATGCATGCACACAAGACAAAGAAACCAGATCTCATTACAGATGGTTGTGAGCCACCATGTGGTTGCTGGGAACTAACTCATGACCTCTGGAAGAGCTCGTAACTGCTCAGCCATCTCTCTAGCCAGCCTCCTGCCTTGTTAAAGACAAGCTTCCTTTGTTACTCAACACTGATGATTCCAAGCCTGTGAGCTTCTGGGAGTTCTCTGGTCTCACAATAGGAGCATTGGGTTATAAACATGTGCCACTGTTCCCATCTTTACATGGGTTCTGGGATTTGGATTGGAGTTCTTATATTTGTCTTTAACGAGAGAGCTTGTAGTGATTTGAGTGAGAATGGCCCCCACAGACTCAGATGTCTGGGTATTTGGCCCTCAGCTAGTCTAGCTGAATTAATAAGCTTCAGCTTCAAAGCAAAACTCTGTCCAAAAAGAGACAAGATGGAGGGATGGCTCAGCAGTTAAGAGCACGTCTCGATCCTACAGAGGACGTGGGTTTGGTTCCCAGTACCCACATGGCAGTTCACACCATGTATAACTCCAGCTCCAGGGGATCCAATGTATTATTCTGACCTCTGTGTGCACTGCTCACTCATGGTGCACATACATATGTGCAGACAAAAACTCACATACATAAAGATAAATAAATCTTTAAAAAACAGTGTGTAGAAAGATTGAGAAAAAGACCTGGCTCAACTACTGCCTTCTACGTGAACATGTGTGCACATGTACCCACAGGCATGTGTTCACATCTACATAAACATAAACAACACACACAGTTGTACACACAACATCTTTTCCTCATTTGCTAACGTGTCCATGTCATTCCAACCTTGTAAGGAATTTCAGCCCCTTTTCTTTTTCTTCAGTGATTTCAGTGATGTGACACTCAGATCACTTCATACAAGTGGGACACAAGAGAAAGCCATCTGAGAAATCAAAGTAGCAGGGATCAGAAGATGGCTCAGTAGTTACAGCGCTTGCTGTGTGTGTGCAAGCAGCAAGCTAGAAGACCAGAGCTCAGATCCCCACACCATGTAAATGCCAAGGGGGAATGGCAGCTCTCCTGTGATTCTGGCTCTTAGAAAACAGAGACTCTAACCAGTGTGTGTCCTCAGAGCAAGCTGGAGAGACTCAGTATATTGGGAAACACTGGGTTCAATGGAGAAACTGCCTTAATGAATAAGATAGTGAGCCATAAGGAAGACATCAGAAATCAATCTCAAACTTCCACCCCATACACATAATACACCCTCACATATACACGGATTTACACACAGGTGAACAGGAAGACATCCATGAATGCATAACACACACACAAAGAAAAAACAAAGAGGCCATAGTAACATACACTCATGGAACACATATAGTCTTTATTATCTGTCCCCAGGGAAAGGACTGTATAACATGGATGCTCTTTCACACACATACCCTTTTAAAAATAATATACAAACATCTCCAAGCAAGTTAAAATATCACAGCTAAATCTTCACATTCAACAATTGAGATTAAATATAAAACAAATAAAAACTTATATTCACAAAGATCTAGGGTTCTGCTACCCAGATATAAGACAAATAGACATGTAGACTTTAAAGGTTAAAAATTCTCCATTGAGTGAAAACAGTTATGAATATATAAACATTATAAGAGCTATGGTAAAATATAAGAGCACAATGTTCTCAAAATTGGTACTATCATAAACTAATATGTTAATTATTCTGTAGTCAACATATAATACAATAAAATGTATTAATAATATAATAAAACTTGTTATGCATACTAATAATGTAATAAAATTTGTGACATGTGAAAGTTATAACAATTTTGTAGATCAAATGCTGTATTTTGAAGGTAGTTCCCTCCTCATCTGAGCCCTGAGGTGCCTCCTTCAAATGGCCTGAGACTGGGGAGACGAATGATAGGAATCCACAGGGCTGCTGCCTTGGGGAGATGGGGCTGAGGACATTGGGATAACAATTAGATGGTGCGGCTGAGTAAAACTGCCCCTGAGGAATCCTGATTTCTTCTTCCCCTCCAGAGGCTCCTACAAGTGTTCCCACTCCCAGGAGCACAGTGTGGTGATTCCATTCCACTCCTTCTAGAAGAGTCTGGGTTCCTCTAGTTTCCTGTGGAAGGCAGTCCTCTCTCCTCTCCCCCAGCAGTCAGTCCTTAAAGTTGGCAGAGTATCTCCCTCAGGCAGGGATCTAGAGGGAAGAGGGAGGCCATGTCAGACTTCATACATGCAATTCTTCAAGCATGAACAAGAGTTATGTCTGAAGGTCTGAAGTCAATCCTAACTAGAGGTTAGAACATTTGACAAATGGGAACTTATCTTGATCCTTCTTTCCTTTGTCTATTTGTTCTGTGGTGCTCAGGGTCAGGCACTGGGGATGATACATGAAGGCTCTACCATGGAGAAATTCTGGCTTTTAACACTTGATTCTTTAAAAAAGTGTGTGTGTGTGTGTGTGTGTGTGTGTGTGTGTGTGTGTGTGTGTGTGTGTGTGTGTCTGTGTCTGTGTTGATAGGACTGATAATCCTATACTGGGCTGGGCTGTTTCAAAGGATGGAGTTGTGTGTGGGATGAAGGTGGATTAAGTAGGGACTTAGTGGCTTATCTAATTAAACCACAGACAGGACTCCACACACCTCAGAGAATATCAACATACCTTCCTTGGCCGATGACCTCAGGCCTCTAGAATTCCAGGGTTCTAGGTCAGGTTGGTACGATCTCGTGCCCACACCCACAGCTCTGGGTTGTAAGCCTGGATCTGAAAAGAGTCAGATCCCTGAGCAATGCCATGCCCTTCCCCAACACCCTTGCACACCCTGTTCAGCCTCAAGGTTTCCCATTCCCCAAATCCCACCTCCCACATTTAACAGAATTCCCCTCTCTATTCAGCCTTCAGCAGCCCACACCCACCTACCTCTTCACACTCTTCCCGAGACACCCAGATCTTCCAGCCCATGGATCGAATGAACTGGAACCGCAGTTTGTGGAACGCGGGGCGCTGGGCATAGCTCTTCCCATAGAGGAAGTAAAAAATGTCTTGTTTAGGGGCCTGGTTGTCCTCCTCCATGTCATTGGCCAAGTACCTGGGGAAGAAGTCAGGGTGTTGTGAAAGGCCCAGGAGGACCCCCCTCAGCCATGGTATCACAGCAGAGCAGAGGAGGACAAGCCATTGGCCAGCCCGATGCTATCTCTGCAGTTCTTCCTGTGAGCTGACTCCACAGGAAGTCCCTGGACATGTGCTATGTGAACTCAGCTGTGTCCTGCCGCAGGATTAGCATCCCAGTCAAGCCTCAGCCTGCTTGTCTTCCCTCCTCAGTACTCAACTAACAATTCTGAGCTCTCTCTCTCTCTCTCTCTCTCTCTCTCTCTCTCTCTCTCTGTATTACCTCATGTTTAGTGACACTAAGGGTGTGCTTTCTTGAATATGTTGAATGAGTAAATAAATGAATGGAAGTGATAAATAAGGCACACACAATGCTATTTTCTTCAATGACTGAGTATATAACAGAAATGCCTCCAAAATAAAACAGAATTGGGGGGTCCCAAGAATGACTGGGTATTTGGCTGACAAGATCCTACTTTCAACAAGTATCCAGTGTGATGGGGAAAAGGAGAGGAGAGCAGAGGCTACAGCCCATCTCTTACATTTATGTGTGTGTGTGTGTGTGTGTGTGTGTGTGTGTGTGTGTGTGTAGCTTAAAGTCAACCCTGAGTTTTTCCTAGGAGCTTCCTACCTTGTTTCACCAGACAGGGTCTCTCACTGGGACCTAAGTCTCACCAGTTAGGCTAGGGAGCTGCTCTGAACCCCAAGTGATCTTCCTTTCCTTGACCCCCTAGTACTGGAAATGCAACCACCTGGCCCACCATTTCATGCTAAAAACCTGAACAAATCTTCATGCTTGTATGGCAGGTACTTTACCATTGAGTCATCTCTCTGTCCCTGTTAAATTTCTAGCTGGAATTTTTTTTAAATAAAAAACAGTTTAAGGACATTTATGCTACAAGGACAGGCCAGAGGCCCACTTTTTGTGACCCCCCACATGCAGTGCAGGGAATAGTGACCAACAGGAGGAGACAAAATACTCACAGAGCCAGGAAGAAGTGGATTGGCCTATACTGCCAGGAGAAGAGCCCAGCACGGCTGAAATAAGCTATGACCATAGACAGGAGGTACTGATGGAGAGAGGAGAAAAGGAAATGTCACCCCCTGGAGAGGAAGAGTCTAGGAACAGGGGAAGGGGAGGCTGAGGTGGCATGGGGCTCAGAGTGGATCCCTGAGTTTTGGGTGCCTGCTGGAGTGAGGAAGGAAGGGTGAAGGGGCTTTCAGACAAGCCAGGCCAGAGCGAAGAGGTGCTTGCTGCTCCAGCATGGCTGGCTCTGTGTCAGTTCTGAGGAAGGGCTTGGGACAACAGGGACAAGGAGGTCTTTGCCCCATGAGAACAAAGGGTCCCAGAGAGCTGTGAGGAGAGAAGAGGCAATTCCCGGGGTAAGATGGTGACCATGGACTCAGATTCCAAGGACCCCAGTGAGGCACAGGCCTCCTGTCCACTCTGTGAGACACTACCGGGCCCTGAAGAGAGACCCTGGCAGGGTACCAAGGGTCAGGACTGTGTGGCTTCAGGGGGGCACTGTGGAGGGACAGAGGAGGGGGCACTGTGGGTCAGGGAGGCCCCTCCCCGGGCAGGACAGGATCTGGAGCCCAGCTCAGCGCACCTTATCAGACACTCTCAGTGTCTTGTCCCAGGCCAGGAATTTTTTCACCTCAGGATCCTCTGTGAACAAAGCACATGTGTCATGGTGTGATGGGGAACAGCTGGGAGAGAGAGCCAGGAGAACAGCTTCCTGGGGGATGGTCAGGTCATAATGCACAGTTAAAGGGCCCAGCTGAAGAAGTAGGACTTCCCAAGCCCCTTGGAGCTGTAAGATCATGAGTGAATCCCAAGTGTCAGACATTGAGCTACAGGATTTGATATCTACTGCTGTGTAGGAAGCCGGTTCCTGCATTATCCATTACAATAATAGGTGCCTGAAGACACCAAGATGTAAATTACTTCAACAGGCGCTGGGTAATCTCCATTCCTTTGATCTCTGCCTATCCCGTGGCTCATTTTGGCCTGAGGAGCTGAAGCCATTCATAGGGTAACACGTCCCAGGCGGCTGGCCAGCCTTTATAAGGGATGGTTTTCTTGGTTCACTGTCTCCGCTCTGGGAAGCTTATGCTCTTTCACTCTCAAGATGCATTAAAGCTTGTCTGCAGAAGGATCCGAGTGTCCTGCGTGTATTTCTTGCCTGGCGAGAAATACAGAGCGCGCGGGACACTGCTGGATTTTGGTTTTTCTTAAGTGTGGTTGCTTTTATTTTTTCTGTTCCTTCCCTTTTGAAGTAAGAAAGTGTTTAACTTGTTTTTCACTTTACAAAAGCACACAGTTAAGGGACTTTCATTATTTTCAAGTCACTTCCCTTTAAAAAAATTAGTTTTTTTTTTATACTGTGAAATTGTTAAAGTTGTATGCTATTTATATTATATTAATGTAAGATCTTGGGGACATTGGGCATTGGTGGTGCATGCCTTTATTCCCAGCACTCAGGGGGCAGAGACAAGCGGATCTCTGTGAATTCGAGGCCAGTCTGGTCTACAAAGTGAGTTCCAGGACAGCCAAGGCTACACAGAGAAACCCTCTCTCAAAAAACCAAAAACAACAAAAAAGATCATGGGGACAAACAGAAAAGGAAAGGATATGCCTTAAGGTGATATATTTATGTACCATGTTGGCAGGAGGTGAAGTCTTCTAGTTAACATCTGGTCCCGACTTGACACAGTCCAGGGTTACCTGAGGACTCTCAATTTGGAGATTGTCCCAATCAGATTAACCTGTGGGCATGTTTGGGGGGAGTTTTATGATTGCTAATTGACATGGGAGGCTCCAGCCCACTGTGGGTGGTGCCATCTCTGAGAAGAGTCTGAAGAGGAGGCACTGGTGAAGTTTAGAATGTCAGTGGCACACAAACCACGCTTAAGGGGTGTTTTACATGTCTGTGGCTCTGGGATCAGTCCAGGAGTGTGAATGTGCAGAAGACAACTCTGTAACTGAGCTGCATCCCCATCCCAGGACCAAGATGGGTGTCAACACACCACGGTATCCCCCATTGCACCAAATGCGCCACTTCATGGGCCAGAAGCACTGACACTCACAGTCCATGTGATGTCCTGTGAGGGTGGGAACACGCCTGGGTGGCCCTGATGTGAATGAAGACACCTCAACTTGGGAGAATCAGAAAGAGGTGAGTTACAGTCCTCTTCCTCACCTCCATGTGAACCTAAGCCCCTGTCACCTATGAGTCCCTAAGAACCAAATGAATGTAAGTCCTTCAGGCTGACAGCCCTGGGCTATGAGGGCAGCTTTCCCATGGGGAAGGAGGTTGACTAGAAGTTCCCTCTTTTGCCTAAGGAGGGAGCCAAGTAGGTATCACCTACCCAGCAGCCTGGTGAAGACCTTGTGGTGTTCAGGTCTCACTGTAGACAAATGCCGCCTTTTCAGCTTCATCCTGAGCCCACTCAGTGTCTCCACTGACCACACGGGCTCGGGATCAGGTTCTAGCAGCTCTGCCAGGTCATCCTCAGAATCCGATGACAAGTCCCTCTTCCTCTTTGGCCTGGCGGATGGAGGCGGGGGTCCAGCTTCCTCCCTTGGTTCTAAGTGAAGAAACCACACCCCAATGTGGACTCAGGCTTTGATGATCTCAGCCCTGCCCCACAGGACCCCCAAACACCCCAGACATCCCAAGCCTCTTCAGCTTCAGCCTTTCCCCAAACCATCGTGCTATTTCCCTCTGTGCTGAGCCACCTGCCCCTCATCTTGTCCCCATCCCTTCTCCCTGTCCCTCCAGACTCTTTCTCATTAGAGACCAATTGTCCCCATAAAAATGAAGTCTCTTCTTGTGTCCTTTCTTCTCTGTCCCATCTTTGACTCTTGGTGCCTAAGCCCTTCCCTGTTCTGCAGATTTCCAGGCCATGTGACACCTGTGTCTGACCCTCTGTCCTTCCTGACTCCACTCCTGCCTCCTGGGCCCTCCTTCCTTTCTTTAGCGTGCTTCCTCCTTGCTGTCTGCCTCACACATCTCTTCTCACCCAGTCCCCTCACATGTTGGTCCTGAGATCCCCCTACCAGGTAAGGGCCTGGTGATGCCAGGCTGAGGACTCTGTTCCTCAGAACACAGTGACAGTTGGCCAGCGGTCACGATTCTCCCAAGCTGTTTCCTCCCTTCCACGGATCCCAGACTCTGATCTATCCCACCCTCCTCCTGGACTCTGACTGAATCTCCACATGATGTCCCTTCCCCCATCTAGGGAGAGGTAGGGTGTGGGGGAAAGCTCCAAGAAGAGGCTGTTGTCCACCAAGCTGCCCACCATCATGGAGTGCTTCTCCTCCAATCAGGAGGGGCAGATGCCTGTGATGTCATCAGCCTTTGAATCTGGCAACCAGTTTGAAATGAAACATGTGTAACTGACAGACTGATGTGTTTGCCTGTTCTGAGGATTCGGGGTCACTTTGTCTCCTGCTACTGACTTACACTCATTCCAACTCCAAACCCATTCTCCATGTCCATTCCCTCTGCAGCTTGTGTACCAGGGGCTGTGTTCTCCTCACTGGAACACTTTAAATTCACCTCCTGTTTGAAACCTCAGTCTCTTCCACATCATACACCCTTTCTCCATTTGGTTAAAGAAAAGGAATTTCATTTTTTAAACTAATTAATTAATAATTAATTTTGATTTTTTTGAGAAAGGCTTTCTCTCTGGTATCTCTCACTGTCGTGGAGCTTGCTCTGTAGACCAGGCTAGATCAAACTCAGAGCTCTGCCTCCTTTGGGAAATTTCTTTTTGTCTTCATTCGCCTTCCTTGCTCTGTGGGTTTTCATCCCATGCGATACCCAAGTCCTATTGCCTGCCCTCCCCTTCTCCAGTCTCTGGCATCTAGGCCCCTCCTATCTTTCTTTTATGCCTCTTCTCTTTATGGCCACCTGCTCATATCTCTTCTCACCCTGGTAACCTCACCTGGTAGTCCTGGGATCTCTTCATCTATTACTGGTGAAGATACCGTGGTGCTAAGCTGGGGACACTGTTCCTCAGGTGGCAGGGATGGGTCACCGGCAGCCATAATTCTCCTAGACAATTTCTTCTTTTCTCTAAATCCTAGACTCTTGTCTCTTCCACTCTTCTCCTTGGCTCTGGATGAATCCACTCCAGTAGTCCTGGGAGAAATCCAGTGTAGAGGAGAGACTTGGAAGGTGAGTTCGTCTACCGTGCTGCCTAGCTCCACAGAGCTTGACCCTTCCAATCAGGAGGGACGGAAGCCTGTGAGGTCATCAGCCTTCTAACCTGGCAACCGGTTTGAAAGACAACATGTGTAACTGATGGATTGATGTGTCTACTTGTTCTGAGGATGGCTGTGCACACAGGTTTGGAAATCTGTAGTTGAAGAATGCAATGGGTATTCTAAAGAAAGCAAGACAACTATAGATGAACACAACAAAGTAGATTCTTTGGGGGACTTGTGAGGTGATGGAGATCTGACATGTGGGCTGGTATCAGGCCAAAGGTTCTTACCTGATGGCACCTTTGAACCAGTGCTCCTGGCTGATGAGTACAAGCCATAGATGCAGCGTCCATACGAACATGAAGACCTCAAAGCAGAGCTGAGTCTGGGCTTCTACCCTTAGCATCTCCATGCCTTGCTGGGCTTACTCCTGTAACCTTTCCATTGTGTCCTCTTGTGAATATGGTCTTGAAGAAATCTTCCAATGCTGTGACTCCTAAAATCTAGTGAGACCCTGTGTGCAGAGGATGTCTGCTCAACATGGAGTTTTGCTACCTGTGCACACAATGCAGTTTGAATCACAGGATTCAAAACTGCTCTTTCAACTGATCAAGTTTACAAGAGGGGAAAATATATGAGGTGACAGTCTCTGGATTCTGACACCTGAGAGACAAGCCAGCCCTGAGCCTCATTGACAAATGGAGCATTTCCAAGCCACGAAGAAGAGGATGATTCTGGGCAGAATGGTGACATCTCTAACAGAAGAGTTGACATTCATTATCTATCCTGCTTATATTTCTGTTCCTGTGGTTAAATAGTCTGATAAAAAGTAACTAAGTGACGAAAGGTTAGTCCAGGATACAGCCAGTCACTGTGGAGAACAAGGTGGTGTCAAACAATTATTAACGTCACATCTACAGAGAGAGAAACAAACGTATATGTGCTCACTTATCTACTGTGCTCATCTTGATTCCTTTACCCTTTAACAATTCTAAATCCCCATCCCAGGGAATGGTACCACCTACAGTGGGCTGGTTCTTCTCATATAAATTAACTTAATTAAGGTGATCTCCCACAGACATGCCTATAGGACAATCCATTCATTGAAACTCTCCTCCCAAATTATTCTAGATTGTATCAAGTTGACAATTGATGTTAACCATTAAAATATCCAAGAAGGCAACCTACTATATAGTACAGGACAGAGACCCAAAAAGAATCAAGATGCAAGGACACCCAGTCATGGATTGAGTACAGTCATTGTACAGTGGAAGGTGCAAGCAGTAGCCAGGAATCCAACTGATGCCATCTTATTTGTCTTTACTTAGTGTCTTACAAGCTATCCAGTCATAGTTCCCATCCTCTGCCTGATATGGAAACACACAAGGATAAATGTCCATTGACATTTGGAGGTGTGAGCATGGTCATGACAGTATCACTTTTGCTCTCTGTTGAGAATTCAAATGCAGGATATGCTGAGCAGCACAAGTGCTGGGCAGGATGTCCCCATCCACATTGCTGCCTTTTCAGAAACCCCCTCTTTGTTGGCCTCAACTTTATACATGCTTATCTAACCAAACCACAAATTTTCCCCCAAGTCTTTCTGGTCTGCTTTTGATACAAATTTTTACTTTTAAACCTGGCTAAAAGCAGCCTACAATGACTACGCCATACCCAATATGCTATGCATGCTATGCTGTCTCAGAAATTCCTTTATCACAATAGTTAGCACATCCTTTTTTTAATTGGTTTTTAAGAGTATTTATTATGCATACATTGTTCTGCCTGCATGTATACTTACAGGCCAGAAGAGGGCACTATATAAGAGGGCACAGATCTCATTATAGATGGTTGTGAGCCAGCATGTGGTTGCTGGGAACTGAACTAAGGGCCTCTGGAAGAGCAGCCAGTGCTCTCTAGCTCCTAGTTAGTACTTCTTATCTTAGTTTTTTTGTCTGTTGCTATGATAAAAATGCCTCAAGGAAAGTAACTTAAAGGAGAAAGGACTAATTCTGGCTTACAGTTCAAGGATATAATCCATGATGGCAAGGAAGTCCAGCAGGAGGGGTTGAAGGAAGTGGCTGGTGACACTGCAGTCAGGAAGCAGAGAGTGGATGATACACAATGCTGTTCAGTTCCCTTTCTCCATCTTATACAGACCACTATGCCCTCTCTTGGGAATGGACCTGCCTACAATGAAGATGAGTTTCCTAACATCAATTAATGTAAGATAATTCTAGATTCAGTCAAGGTGAAAACTTTAACCATTGTAGCTCCAAAGTCTCAGGGCATGGTGGCTCATGTCTATAATCCTAGCACTCAGAGGCAGAGGCAGAGGCAGAGGCAGAGGCAGAGGCAGAGGCAGAGGCAGAGGCAGAGGCAGAAGGATGTCCTACAAGCTGGAGACCAGCCTGATCTGTATAGTGAGTTCCAAGCCAGACCAAGACACATAGTGAGGCCCCCTGAAAAATACAAAAACCAAACCAACCAACCAACCAACCAAACAAACAAACAAACAAAGAAAAACAAAGTCTCAGGGCACAGGCAAAAGATTTACTAATTTCTTGGTAGAATGTAATACAAATGGCACCTTGTGCAATTTCTCATACATATCTCATTGATGGGGGATGTCCTTCCGTATATGTGTTTCTTTTATTGCTTGATGAAGAAAACACTGTTTGCCAATAGAGGCAGAAAGATAGGCAGGGTTAGGAGACAAGGAGGATTCTGGGAAAGGTAAGCAGAGAGAGAGATTTGATAGAGATGCCATGTAGCGGAGGAAGGAGTAAGAAGTTTGGACCCTTCTCCAGTAAGCCAAGACCATGTGGGAAATACTTATATTAATAGAAATGGGTTAATAAGTAAGACAGAGCTAGCCAATAAGAAGGCCTAGCCATCTGCCAACAGTTTAATAATACAGCCTCTCTGTATGTTTATTAGGGGCAAATCAGCTGTGGGACACTTGAAGCCTTTGGGTGTGGTCTACACTAACTATCTGCTGGAATTCTTTTGAACTCACTCTAGGATCTCTCACCAAGTTGGGTTTATAGCATCCTAAAACTTCTGTACTGTGCCCCTCTACACTTCTTCAAATCTCTCTTTCAGGTCAGCTCTGAAGGCTTAGAAACCACAAAGCCAGTTTTATCACAGCAGTGGTCCCACTTCCTGGCATCATTCTCTCTATTTGCCTTTATATTCTTATGACACAGGCTCCTGAAAGAGGAGCATTTTATTTGACCTCATCGTTTCAGAGAGTCCCTTGGCTTTGTGGTTCTGGGATCACTGTGGGGCAGAATATCGTAGTGGTAGGATTGTTGCTCCTTGCATGGAAAACAAGAAATGGAAAGAGGGAGACATGAGGGCACCAGATAGCTCCAATAAATGCCACCCTGCTACCACTGAATCTGCTTCCTCCATCTACGCCCCATGTCTTAAGTTTCCAGGACCTCCCAAGACAGTTCCATTAGTTGGGTATCTAGGCTTTAACACTGCTGGGACAAACTATTTGACAAAAGCAACTTCAGGAAGGAAATGTTTATTTGAGCTCACAGCTGGAGAGGCTACAATCCATCGTGGCAGGGGAGGTGTGGTGGCAGGAGTGTGAGGATGTTGGTCACATTGCACATTTCATCCACAGTCAGGAAACAGAGGGAAGGGGAGGAGAGGGAGAGTGAGAGAGTGAGAGAGAGAGTGAGAGGGAGAGTGAGAGAGTGAGAGAGAGAGTGAGAGTGAGAGGGAGAGGGAGAGAGTGAGAGGGAGAGGGAGAGTGAGAGAGAGAGGGAGAGGGAGAGTGAGAGAGTGAGAGAGTGAGAGTGAGAGGGAGAGAGTGAGAGGGAGAGGGAGAGGGAGAGGGAGGAGGGAGAGGGAGAGGGAGGAGAGGGAGAGTGAGAGAGTGAGAGAGGGAGAGGGAGAGGGAGAGGGAGGAGAGAGAGAGGGAGAGGGAGAGGGAGAGGGAGGAGAGAGAGAGGGAGAGGGAGAGGGAGAGGGAGGAGAGAGAGAGGGAGAGGGAGAGGGAGAGGGAGGAGAGAGAGAGGGAGAGGGAGAGGGAGAGGGAGGAGAGAGAGAGGGAGAGGGAGAGGGAGAGGGAGGAGAGAGAGAGGGAGAGGGAGAGGGAGAGGGAGGAGAGAGAGAGGGAGAGGGAGAGGGAGAGGGAGGAGAGAGAGAGGGAGAGGGAGAGGGAGAGGGAAAAGGAGAGGGAGAGGGAGAGGGAGAGGGAAAAGGAGAGGGAGAGGGAGGAGGGAGAGGGAGAGGGAGGAGAGGGAGAGGGAAAAGGAGAGGGAGAGGGAGGAGAGGGAGAGGGAAAAGGAGAGGGAGGAAGGGAGAAAGGGAGGGAAAGGGAGAGATGCTGTTGCTGAGCTCCCTTTCTCCTGTTCTTTTCCATTCTGTCTGAGACCCTATGTCCATGAGATGGTGATGCCCATTTCAAGATGGTTCTTCTTTCCTCACAAAACCTCTCAGGAAATTCCCTTAAAGACACGCTGGTGGTGTGTCTCTGGAATGGTTAGTGTTAATTGCCCACTTGACAGAATCTATAATTGCCTAGGAAGCAAGCCCACAGGCACACCTATGAGGGGATAGCTAGGCTGGAATGGCCTCTGGGCAGGCCTGTACAGAGTTATCGTGATTAGGCTCACTGAGATAGGGAGACCCACTCTGCAGGTACCATTTCCCTGGGGTGAGATCATGGGCTGCAAAAATGAAGAAAGCAAAGTTGAACAGTGATTCCTCATCCCCTCTGCTTTCTGGTTGTAAATTCCATAGGACCAGCTGCTTCAATCTCCTGTCTGTTTGGCTTCCCTACCATGATGGACCCTTTGCACTGTGAGCCAAAAGAAGCCCTTTCTCTCTTAAGTAGCTCTTGTTGGGGGTATTTTATTGAAGTGACATAGAAAGAAATTAAGGCAGTCTTTTAGGTGTCTCTAAATCTAGTCACGTTGACAATTCAGATTCACCATGAGGGGCACTCTCCATTTGTCAGTGATACAAAATATACTTAATATTTTTATCTGGGCTGCAGTGGCGCACACCTTTAATCCCAACACTCAGGAGGCAAAGGCAGATGGATCTCTTGAGTCCAGGCTAGCCTGGTCTACAGAGTGAGTTCTCTTTGTAGCCAGGGCTACAAAGAGAAACCCTGTCTCAAAACAACAAAAACAAAAATCAAAACAAAACAAAAAAAGATTCACTATTATACCACCCAAGTAGGTAGTGGTGACTGACAGGCGTTGAACTGGAGGGGTTGACAGCAAACATTACCTACCCATAGCCTAGAAGTGAGTCTTTAGATGGATAGGAAGTATAATTACAGAACAATTTTTTAAGTGATCGCCTAAAACACAGAGACACTGATTGAGGAAAATCTGCTGGAGTATGTGATGTTTGCATTTTCCTTGTCTTTAAGGCCATCTGACTTTCAGATGTGTTTGTTTATATTGGTTTCCATGGTAGTTTTATTTCTTAACTTGATTTATTATTACTGTTTGTTTCATGTAAGTATGTACATGGTGCACATGGGAGATCAAAGGACAGCTTTTGGGAAGTCAAGTCTTCAGGCTCACAGGGCATCCAGCTGACCCTCCCTGGTAATTTTTTGAAGATTAAAAAAAATATATGTGACCCGTGTGTGTGTGTGTGTGTGTGTGTGTGTGTGTGTGTGTGTGCGAGAGAGAGAGAGAGAGAGAGAGAGAGAGAGAGAGAGAGAGAGAGAGAGAGTCCTGTTAGAGGCCACAAGCATCAGATACCCTGAGCTGAAGTCACAGGTGGGGTAATCTGACAGACACTGGCCCTGGGAGCCCGATGCAGGTCCTCTGGAAGAGCATAAGAAAGAGCAATGACTGCTTTTCTGAGCCACCTCTCCAGACCCGCTCCTTGTCATTTGTTTGTTAAAAACTCCTTAAGAAGTTGTATCTGCTAGTGCAGGACTGCCATTGCAGCTACTCAGGATTGCAGGTTTGAGGCACACCTGGATTCCAGAGTGGGTTCATGCCAGCTTGGGTAACTTACAAAGAAAACAAGAAAGGGCTAGATGTAGCTTAGTGGTCAAGTGCTTGCCTAGCATGTGCAAAACCCTAGGTTCAATCCACACACACACACACACACACACACACACACACACACACCCTACCTTCATTGGAGTAGCAAATATTGCATATTTATGTAGACTTGTGAGTACATCTTCAAATTATTAATTTATTAAAAATACTATTTGTGTGTCTGTGAATATTACGGCATGCACATGCCACATTGTGTAGTCAAAAGACCTCTTTGTGGAGTTGGTTCTCTCCATTCACCTTTACATAGGTTCTATGGATCTACGTAAGGTTGCTGGGCTTGCTTGGCAAGTATTTTTACCAGCTGAACCACCTCACCAGACCCTTTTCCCATTTTATTTGAATATTTCTGGGAGAAAATTCATAGTAGAAACACTTGTGAAGCAGGGAGCCGGAGAAATGGCTTAGTCTACTGGCAAAATGATTGCCATACAAGCTTCAGGATCCCTAGCACCCATGTAAGAGCTGGGTGCAGTGAGTGCCCAGTGCTGAGAGGCAGAGATGGGAAGATTGCTAGAAATCACTGGCCAACTCTCTTAACCAAATTGGTGAACTCCAAGTTCAATATGAAGACCTTGGAGCATGCACATGCTCACAAAAACACATACTAAAACACACACACACACACACACACACACACACACACACACATACACACACACACACACACACAAACACACACTACTTTTGGAGTAAATAGAATGACCAACTCTCCCAAGTATTTAGCTGAGTATAGAACACTATTAAGTAGTACTGAATGACTATTAATGTTAACAATAACCTTTATTATAAGCACCCATCTTAATGTTTATTTTCCCTTTAAATAAGCTAAGTATTTGCTTCCCTAATTGATATGTGGTAGTCTCTAGTGTGCCAAGCAGAAGACTATTAAGTCAATCATTTTGTCGGACCACCCTTGGGTGCAGCCAGGACACCTTAGAAACTCAGCTACTCTGAACACTCCACAGCTACGTTAATGAAGTTGCACAGCATTCACAGACAATTGCTGTTGAAATGCATTTCCATACCCAAAGCTGCTATCCTGGGCACCGCTGTCTCAGACAGCTTCTATCTCCTTCCCTCTCTCGCTCTCTCCCTCCCTCCTCAACCTCCTTTTCCCCCCCTCTTCTTCCCTCCTTCTAGGATTTCATTATGTTGCCCAAACTGGCTTCAGACTCACACTCCTCTTGTTCATCCGATCCAATGTGCTATCATACACAGGTTTCTAATGGAATCCTTTTGCAATCACAAGCCTTGGTGAACCAAAACAGCCACTTTAACACATGCTGTAACAACGGGCTCTATAAAAGGCATCTCTCCAGCACTCTTTTTCTACTTTTGACCCTTCCCATCAGAGCCCTCAGTGCACTCAGCTGGTGAGATGATGATGATATGATTCAGAAATGGCAGTGAAAAACAAGCACTGGGTTTGGAGAGGCAGGGGAGGATGGGCGGGAGAAGGGAACTGGGATTGTCATGTAAAACAATCCTGTTTCTAATTCAAATAAAAAAAGTTGGGAAAAAAAAAGAAAGAAAAACAAGCACTGGCTACCAGGGAGGACAGGAGTAGAGACAGCAAGTGAGTGTGCATGGGAGAGCTGAGGATGAATAAGACAGAAGGCAACTGAAGAGCTACAGACAAGAAACCGGTGAGCTCTCAGTTAGTGGCAGTGAGCCAGGGAGCTGCCAAGCGTTAAGGGCTAAGGGCATACCTGAGACCCAATAGCTATAACATTGTGGCTGTTGTACTGAGAGTCACAACACCTGAGTCCATTCAGGACCAACAGGCACGGTTGCTCCTGTTGCTGCTGCTGGAGCCCATATGTAACAACAGCTGCCAAGTGCCAGGGTCACCAGTGGATTAAAGGTCATGTCATTAAGTCTCTAGTTTCTAAAGTCAGACACAACCGAACTCTAGGTCAGGGCTTGGAGCCAAAAGCCTCTAGGCCTGCTGGTCCAGTCAGTAGACCGTGGGAACACAAGAGCCTGGTATGCCTGCCCAGGTTGAGCTTCTTGCTACTCAGTTCCTATCTGAGCAGAGTAGAAGAATCTCAGCCTGCTGACTGGTGACCCTTGTTCTGTCTGTACACATTGAAATCTTTTCTTAATACAAAAATTAAATTAGTCCGACAGTGTTGGTGCATGCCTTTAATGCCAGTAGAGACAGAGGCTGGCAGATCTCAGTGAGTTCGAGGCCAGCATGGTCTACAGAGCCAGTTCCATAACAGCTAGGGTTATACAGAGAAACTCTGTCTTGTAAAACAAAAACAAAACAACAACAAAAAATTATATAGGCTTGAAATGTCCTCATTGCAAGCAAGGAATTCCTTTTCTCAAAGACCAGAGTCCCCTCTGTGCATTGTAAACCTCGGGAAAGAAAGAGTTCCTGTTTCCCTGTCACCTGGGGAGTTTTGTCCAGGCCCCTCGTTCAGAGATGTAACGACCTGCTTATGGGGGATGTGGGAGTATTTAATTCATGAGATAAGGACCAGCTCAGCTGGACACCTCAGTTACCAGGTGACATCAGGACGGACCTGGGAGGAGCAGCCAGCCTTGCAGAGCAGACCTTTCAAGGAGAAGTCACCCTTTCTCCTGAGACCATGTACACCCTGCAGCGTTTAAGGGGCTATCCATGATGCTTCTGTCTCCTGCCTTCTCTCTTCAGGGGACAGTGGTTCACCTGTGATGGACACCACAGGTTGGCTAGGATGCTTCCTTCATAATGAAACCGATTTTCTGCAATTGTGTAGGGAATTTTTGCATTGGCAGATTTTGTTCAGTCTCCATCAGCTTTGGAAACCGATAGGACAGGAACCCTGCTGCATTTGGGAGGGTGGGTGGCATTGGAGAAGTCATTGATCATATGGTATAATGTTTGAACGTTGCCATTGTCGCCTGACTTCAAACAGCGAGTTTGAGAAGTCCTGTTACAGGCACCTGCTTCTCCTTTCTCTGTGTACGTTCTGGTTGCTTTTAGAATTTTTATGCATTCGTTGTATGATCCAGAGAAACCACTATTTTTGTCTTCTTTCCCTTCTTTGGAAAGAATTGCTGGGCATGAAACTTCTAAGCACTTCGGTTAACAGAGCGCAACACAATTATCTGTCAGAACAAGCCTTTTACCTAAAAGGCCCAGGCCAGGAGAGTGCACGCTGTCTTTGGATGATATAACCCTCGGGCTATTTCTGGAGGCTCAAAGGCAGTGAGAACAAACCCGATAGTGACCTCAGGGCCCGAGTTATTGTAGCTCTCAGCTTGCTGGGACGAAGAGGAGACTTGTATGGCGGCTCCTAGAAACGGGCGCCTAGACTTCTGGGAGTCCACCCTACGCCTGGCATGAGAGGAAGACCCCTGGGACCAGGCCCCTTCGGGGGCGCTGCTGCGCGTGCGCATCTTGGCCTGCGTGCGAGCTCGCGCATGCGCACGACAGCTGAGCCGCCCTGGCTTCCTGCGGTCTGTTTTCTGCGCTCGCTCCCGCAGCTTTGGCTTGCGCGAGCAGCAGTCGTGGACCCCGCGGGGGCCGAGGTCGGAGCGTCCGGGTCCGCAGCGGGCGCACACGGCTGTGCAGGCCGGGGAGGCCGAGGGCCGGGCTGACAGGGGCATCAAGACCCGGGCCCGGCGTGGCCTCCTAGGTGAGGCCTGAGGATGCAGATCCGGGCCTTGGGAGGGAGGCTGGCTCCGGCTGATTGCTTGCAGGGGGCGGGAGAGGGGGTGGGCTGAGTGATCCGCACCTGCACGAAGCCTGGCTCTCTTCTGTCCTCCGCTTGCGGAATCAGGGATGGTCGCAGTGGTCAGGCTGATGGCAGGGTGGCTGCACCACTTTGGGCAGCTCTGATTGACAGAGGAGGAGGCGTGCTGGCATAGGGAGGGGTTAGCGGCCTGAGCTGCAGAGCCACACTCGTGCCTCACTCGACACCCCTTCTGTCGTCGCTTTAGAGTCTCACGGTGTCACTCAGGCGCCCATCGGCACCCATGCTCGGTCTGCTTGGTCCTCCTGAGTTTTCCCTGCAGTATCATATGGCCTACTTCAGGGAAAGTTCGTTTTTGCCTCTGTTTTTGAGGGAAGACCGTGGGTCTGCAGTGGTGGGACATAACCGAGGTCATGCTGAGATTTTTTTAGTAAGAGTGCTAAGTCCCAGGCGGTCGTTCCTTCTGCAGTATTAAAGTGGAAGTCACAATATCACTTTAGGCAAATACAGCCCCTACCTGTGAGTATTTTTTTTGGGGGGTGGGGAGTGGGTTCGAGAAAGGGGTTCTCTGTGTAGCTTTGGAGGCTGTCCTGGCTCTATAGACAAGGTTGGCCTCCAACTCACAGAGATCTGCCTGCCTCTGCCTCCTGAATGCTGGGATTAAAGGTGTGCACCAGCACCAGCCAGCTGAGTATTATTTTGTATCTCTATTCAACAACGTAAATTATTTAGCTGGCATTTCATATTAGTTCACCTTACAGGTGCACTCATTCATTCCTCATGCATGGTTACAATTCTCCAGCCCTTTCTGAAAGCCAATGACACCATCACCCATAACGTTTCCTTCTTGGAATGTTCTGGTAGGTTTTTGTATAGGAGATTTCCCCTTGCCATACCCCTCACAATGGCTTTGTCTTTCTTTCCCCAGACCCGACTCTAATACTTCTCCAGACTTTTCCTTAAGCAGTGGAAGATGAATACATCCTTGGTAAGTTTTGTTTTGTTTCTGCTCACATCTCTATTGTCTAATTTGGTCCAGTGCACTCAAAGAGGCAAAGAACAGTTCAAACTTTAAAAGGGGGATATAGATAAAATAGAAATAGATAAAAGGATCAGGCAAAATAGTAGTGAGCAATAGTAAGCATTTTTGTTGTTGTTGTTGTGCTCATATCTATTGGTAGCATAAAGAGTCCGTATGATGGTGTAGCTATCACCTTGATCTGATTTAGAGACCTGTGGGAGATGGGCCTCTGGGAATGCCAGAAGTGGGTACCAGGTTACAGTCACTGATGTGGGGAAACTCGTGTGTAAAATGGAGAAGATGACTTGAGTACCAGCAAGCATGACTTCTTCCCTCTCTGTTTCCCTGGATACCATGGGCTAGCTGCTTCGAGCTCCTGCAGCTGTGGCCTATTCTCCATGAGGGATACAGCTCCAGCTTCCAGTGGTATTCTGTGTTGATTCCCCCGCAGCCTTCACAGCAGGCAGGGAAAAAAAATGGTCCTTAAAGAGGCAAGAATGAAACTCTTTGGACTTCTAGAGTCTGGCCTAGATCATTTTTCTTTAGCTATATTTAAGCTCAGCACAATTTTTGAAAAAAAGTATTCAGATAACAGTTAACTCAGTTCCAAGTGCATAACAGTATAAGACATATTTACATTGAGATTCCTACAAAGTACATCTGGCTGCTTTCACAAGAATGGGGACTGTTGACTCAGATAATGCCCGAGGTTTAGGGTCTAGGGAGCTTGACTGAGGTAAACATAATGCCTGTGTGTGTTGGGATTGGCCTGGCCCTAAGATAACATAGAAGTCACTTAGGCTGTTGTAAAACACAAGTGACATTATTCATAAGAGTGAAGCTTATGGTCTAAAAACAATGCTCAATATATAGAGGAAAAGGTATTGGATGAGTAAATAAATTCTGGGAGGTATAGGCAGAGCCTGTGTCATCAGACAGCAAAGTATCACCAGGTTGTAAAACGACATCATTCCTAGCATTCCAGGAAGAGCAGCTTCACACCTCATTCCATTGAAGAGGTGAGCTGTGTGCTTAACTTTCCTGTCTTCTCCAGTGCTTATATGTGTGCACAAGGCCTTTTTACCCTCTATAGTATTCTAACACACACACACACACACACACACACACACACACACACACACCATTGACCCATCCTGTCTCTAGTCTCCTCTGTCAGTTTCTACCTTGATGCCCTCTTCCTGGATTTAGAATTTCTTCTGCCTTCACGTGGCTCTTCTTAACCCTGCTCTGATCTTGTTCTCTTGGCATTGGTCAGTGGCTCTGTGCTGGTTCACCTCTGGATCAGCCAGCTGCCTGCTGAGCATCTCTGTGGACCATGTCCCTGCAACACCCAACAGACTGCTGCATCCAAATAAATCAGTCTTTTCAGCCCATCGTTGGGCCTTCTCCTTTCCTTTCCTTATTCCATTGGCCAACACACATTCAGTTTTCTCTTATAGTCTGAGTAGTTTTTCTTTGTTTTTGCATCATTGGTTGGTTTGAAAGGGGTCTTGGTGTGTAGTTCAGACTGCCCCTGAGCTCTTGATCGTCCCTCTTCAGCAAAGAGTTAAAGGCATATGCCAGTATCCTTAACCCTGGTGATGACTTTCAGTGTCCCAAGAAGTGAAGTGACAGACCCATTGGGTTTTTTCAACCCTCAAGTAACTGTTCTTCCCTTTGGCTAGACTGACTTACTAATTAGGAGTCATTTTTTCACTCACAAACACTGGTGTACTCTCCTAGATACTGGCATTCTCCAAAGAACAGAGTATTCCTTTCCAGGAGCTCCTTAGGTTCCCTTAGTGGAAGAGTCTCAAATAGAAACACACAGATTGGGAATATCTGTGGAGGTAAGAATAGAGTAGTGAGTTTATCCTGAATGTGTTCTCAGAGATGGTCCCTGGGTGCCTTTACTACAAGAGAGATTCTATTGCTCTAAGACAGATTCCATCAGCTCACATTTACCGAGACATAGACTTGTGGTCTTGTTTGGGTTGCTGGTATTTTTGTTGTTGGTTTTTAATTACTTTGTGTGTGTGTGTGCATACCATGTTGGGTGTGTGGAGGTCAAAGGACAACTTTCAGGAGTCAGGTCACAGGGATTGTGTTTTTATTTATAAGATGCTCTATCATTTCCATTTCTTTCCCAAAGCAATGATTTCACATTTCTCTTCCTCTCTTGAAAACTGGCTTACAGAGCACTGGCTTGAAGCATCTTTGTCATACGGTTGGTGTATATTACAAAAAATACACAGTCAATAACCAACAATCAGTTAGATGCCACTGGAATCTACTTCATGGTGCTGAGTGCTCCCATAGAGTCCATGGTACACACTGATGTTTGTGGTGCTGAGTGCTCCCATAGAGTCCATGGTACACACTGATGTTTGTGGTGCTGAGTGCTCCCATAGAGTCCATGGTACACACTGATGTTTGTGGTGCTGAGTGCTCCCATAGAGTCCATGGTACACGTTAGAGCAGAGCACTTTTCCCACAGCTTGTGGTCTGGAGTTAGATTTCCAAAAACCCATAAAAATGTCATGTATGTCTAGAATGTAGGTGAGAGATGTGGACTGGTGGTGATAATTTGGGAAGTGTTTGTACGTGGAGGGCAGTTAAATTATCCACCAGTCCAGGCAGGCTCTCCATCAAAGTAGTCAGTGCTCTGGGAACCTGGAGGAGAGAAGAACTAGCAGAGGACATGAGGAAGAGACAGGGAAGTAAACATCGCAGGGACTAATGCTGTTCATCTACTGGGAGACAAGATGGAGTGTTCCAAAGGGTAGGGTGCACCTAGGATTGCATGAGTGTCCCTCACGTCTGAGCCTCTCAGTGGTGGGAAATGTTTCTGATGGTTTTTCTGTTCTCAACAGCCAGCATTGTTCCTGGCTTGCAGTTCAAGCCCGGTGCTTTCTTAATGTGAATAAATGAATCCCAAGGCAGTTGGGGTTTTTTCTTTCTATTTTGCATGTGTGGGTATTAGGTGTATTTGTGTTTTTGCACAGTTTTGCTTGTGTGTGAGTGAATGTGGAGGCCCAGGGTTGATGTCGGGAACCATCATTCTCCTTTCTACTTCATTCATCGAGGAAGGATCTCTTAGTCAAACCCAAAGCTCTCTGGTATAGCTAGAGTCTTGCCAGCCAGCTTCCTTTGGAGAGCTCTGTCTTGACTTCCAAGATTGGAACTACAGAGGGGCTGCCATGCTCACCTGGCATTTACATGGGTTTCTAGAAACCCTAACTCTGTTACTAACACTTGTACTATAATTGCATTAACCACTGAGCCATTTCTCTAGCCCCAAAGGCAGTCATGCTTTCCTTTCACAGTCTGATATATATATATATATATATACATACATACATATAGTGTTCATGGTTAACACCACCAGCGGGCTTGGCAAGAGCTTGTCTTCCATTGCCTGTTCCTTGTGATCGAATTCTGAGCATGCCGTTTCAGGGCCCACTGTCATTCAAGGATGTGGCTGTGGCCTTCACCCAGGAGGAGTGGCGGCAGCTGGGCTCTGAGGAGAAGACGACATACAGGGATGTGATGCTGGAGAACTACAGCAACCTCATCTCCGTGGGTGAGGACCAGTTGCCTTCCCAGCTGCTGGGATGTGGGGATGCCTTTAAAGTCATTAAAGCGTTGATGACTGTACTTTTGAATTCTGTGAAATGGTTGTGAGTGGTTTGTTCTGATTGACCTCCCTGTGAAAATAAAGCACTAGGGCTCTTGTGCTACACAGCTGGTACAGTGGCACCTGCCCTGCACGATAGAAACCCTGAAGCCATGCTGGCAGGCTCAAGTTATTTTTCATTTCTCATTAACAGGGTACCACATTATCAAACCTGATGTCATCATCAAGTTGGAACAAGGAGAAGAGCCGTGGATAGTAGAAGGAACGTTCTCACCTCAGAGCTATCCAGGTGTGTTAGTGGAGGCAGAGAGGCCAAGAAGAGATAGTAACTGGGGAGTTCCTCCTGGGAACATTCTGATCGCTCTAAGCTTCAGAAGTTACTGAAGGTAGTTAGTCACTCCTAAAGCTTTCTTCCTTCCCCAAGAAAACATGGTTATAGAGAATTTCCCCCAGCGACCACTGTCCAGAATCAAAGGTTCCTGGCTGGCTGTGAGGGGTGCACGCCTTTAATCCTGGCACTCGGGAGGCAGATGCAGGTGGATCTTTGTGAGTTCTAAGCCAGTGAAGTCAACAGAGTGAGCTCCAGGACAGTCAGGACTGCACAGATGAAGTCAGTTCCTTTTTCCTCTAAACCTTCCATGTTGAGTCACCCATATCATAGCTTCCTTTTACTAGGTGTCCATAGTGTTTTGTCAGTGAATGACCTTCTTCAGCTCTTAGGTTGTTAACCCCCTTGGTTTTGTTTTCATTCTCTCTGACTGAAATGCTTTGGGCTCTGTATCAGTCACTTTCCTGGGGCTGTGACAAAACCCTCACAAAAGGAACTTAAGGGAGGAAGTGTTTATTTTGGCCCTCAGCTCCAGGATACATACAGCCCATCACAGCTTGGGACTCTGAGGCAGGTGCTTACCTACACTGTTTTCACTGCAGGACAGTCAGGAAGCAGGGAGTGGCACTTGCTGATGCTCAGCTCACTTTGTCATTTTTATTCAGTCCAGAAACTGAATACTGGTACTCCAAATGGTGGGTGGTTCTTTCCCATCAAGGAACCTCATCGGGGTGACCTCACTAGGTGCCTAGAGGCCTGACTCCTGGGTGATTTAAATATTAACCATCACAAGCTTTTTTTTTTTAAACTTTCATTTTTATCTTAAATGTATGTTTTGCCTGCATGTGTATCTGTGCACTGTGTGTGCATGCAGCGTGTGTGGAGGCCAAAAGAGGGGTTGGATGTCCTCAACCGGAGTTAACAGTGGCTGTGAGTAGCTATTTGGGTACTAAAAATATAACCCAGGTCCTCTGGAAAAGCAACCAGGTATTCTTAATGGAAAAGCCATCTCCAGCCCCTTTAACTCATGCAGCTGAGTTCATTGGACAACTTTGTGTAGTGATTCTTTCTATCTTCATGTGGGATCCAGAGATTTAGCTTAGGTTTGTTCAGCAACCTTCTTTACCCAGGGAGTTATTTCACCTCCCATCTGTAGTTTTTTTGACCCTTTGTTCTTTGGGGGCCTGCTCTTCAGCTCCCAAGTAAATACACTGAGAATTATTCTTGCTTATGAATACCTGCCTGGCCTTAGCTTGGCTTGTTGGCTTGTTGCTAGCCAGCTTTTCTTAAGTTATCCATCTACCTTTTGCCTCTGGGCTTTTACCTTTTTCTATTTTATATTCCTTTCTTTCCATCTTACTCCATGGCTGGCTGTATTGCTGGATGGCTGGCCCCTGTCATCCTGTCCTTCTTTTCTCAATCCTCCCTCTCTTCTTCTAGTTATTCTCTGCCTGGCAGCCCTATCTGTTTCTCTCTCCTGCCTAGCTATTGGCTGTTCAGCTCTTTATTAGACTGATCAGGTGTTTTGGGCAGATAAAATAACACAGCTTCACAGAGTTAAACAAACGCAACATAGAAGAATGCAACACATCTTTGCATCGTTAAACAAATGTTCCACGCATAAATCAATGTAACACATCTTAAAATAATAACCCACAACACTTACCTCTTTGTTTTCTTTGAGGTCAGATTACAAAATCCCAGTCCTAAACCATTTGACCCTGGCCTCTCTGTGGGCATGTCTTCTTGTTGTCTGGAAAGCCAGCCCTATGATGTTTAGCTCCTGTAGACTTGGGTCTCTCTCATCCAAAATACTTATTTCTTAGCTTTATACTGGCTCTTTTTTATTCCCAAGCCCTTGAATGGTGTTCCATTGTGTCATGTACATAAATAACTTCTGATTTGTCTTTCATCTTCCTAAGTATCTAGGAAGGATTTTGTTCCGCCTGTATCTCCTGATTCCTCATGATTCCTCAGAGGGCTTCTCCACTCTCAAATCTGAGGGTTTTGTTTGCCTGTTTGTTTCTTTGCAGTCACACTGTGTTGCAGCTCATGGTACCCGCTGTCTTCTCTGATGACAGTGTGTGTTTCTCTCATTCTTGCTGTGTGTGGAAACTGATCATGAACTCTTGCAGCTTATGGTTGCTGAGCACTTTTCCTGTCTCCCTAATTCCTTAGTTGCACTCCTCTCATTGCCCACCATGGCCCTCATGGAGTCTCTAAGGGTATCTATGTACTCATCAGGCGGTACAGGTCTCCAGAGTGGCTGGGGCTTTTCCCTTAGGCAGTATCTTATTTACCTTCTGTACAGCTTTAATGTAAGCATTGTTATTCCTGATTGGGTTGGAAGGACTTCACCTGAGGTATCCAGTTGATCCTTTACAAAGTAAACCTATTCAAGTTCCTTGTCTCCCGAGGCTTAACACAGAAGTGGCTCTATACTGCCTGTGAGAGTTTCCTGAATCTTCACTAACCACATTTGGTCCACAGTCTTAGGGTCTCCTCATCATGGGGTTTTCATCTCTGCAGCTTTACATTTTGTTAGGATGGGCTGTGCTTCCCCAGGTAGTAAGGTTTAAAAACCTGAGCTCAAGTTTCCACCCCTGAGAGTTTTTTCCCTCCCGACTCTTATCATTACTCCAGTGTCACCCTTCTCTCTGCAGTAAAAGTAGGCAAGACACCAAGCAGGCCAGCAGTAGGAACAGAGACTTGTGGGTGCCGATGTGCCAAGAGTTTGTTGGATATCCCAGAAATCCTAGCATAAGGCCGCAGCACTGTGATCTGTATTGCATGACCATCTTGCTCAATTAACAGCTTGTTTTTCCTGGGACAGAATCTTTTCAGTTATGACTCATCATGGCTTTGAGTCACTATTGAGTCCTGGTGGTGCAGTGTTGATTGTTGACACTGGTGGACTGTGGGAGGCTGCAAGAAGAATAAGATTTATCATATGTGACTTGCTTGATATGCATGACATCAAGTGAAATAGGTCCATCCCATAATTTCTGAGATAAGTGAAAACAAAAATCACCATTGGAAGACCATGCTGAGGGACCTGATTCTTAAGGTTTGCACACTTAGTGAAACTCACATTCAGAATTAGGGAGCTGCAGCAGGTTGTATAGGAATGGGTGTACTAGTTCTTTTCTGTTGCTGTGATAAAACACCACTGTCGGCAGCGTTTTTTCCGCTGAAACCACGGGCTCTCCAAATAACCACATAGAGACTTATAAATGTTCAGCCAATAGCTTAGGCTTGTTACTAACTAGCTACTAACTACTTAACAACTACTGCCAACAACTTAAATTAACCTATAATTCTTATCTCATTCTACCACATGGCGGCACCATTTTTCAGCACATGTTCATTTCCTGTTCCCTCTGCATCTGACTGGCAACTCTGCCCTGCTTTATCCCTGAGCTCTCTTTTTGTCTGCAAGTCCCGCCTAACCTGTACCTACCCAGCTATTGGTATTTAGCCTTTTATTAAACTAATCAGAAGGCTCCTTGGCAAAGACACATCTTCACAGTGTACAAAAAGATTATTCTATAACGCACCATGACTGAGGCAACATACAGAAGAAAGCTTATTTGGGGCTTATGGTTCCAGAAGGATAGTAGTCAGTCACTATCCCAGCACGAGCATGGCCGCAGGCAGGTGGGAGCAGCAGCTGAGAGCTCACATCTCAGTCCACAGATAGGAAGAAGACAGAGAACTCAAAATGGCAAAGCTTCTCCTAGTGACATACTTCCTTCAGGAAGGCCACACCTCCTAATCCTCCCCCACAGAGCCACCAACTGGGGACCAAGTATTTAAATGCTCAAGACTTATGGGGGACATCTCATTCAAGCTAACACAGAACTAAAGAAATTATTGGTAGATTGAAAGTGCGAAAACTAATTGCTCAGGTAATTTTTTTTTGTTTGTTTGTTTTGTTTTTCGAGACAGGGTTTCTCTGTGTAGCTTTGGAGCCTATCACTTGCTCTGGAGACCAGGCTGGCCTCGAACTCACAGAGATCCGCCTGCTTCTGCCTCCCGAGTGCTGGGATTAAAGGCGTGCGCCACCAACGCCCAGCTCAGGTAATCTTGAATATGTGTTTTGTGTCACGTGCTGTTCTGAGCACTTTGACTCCTATAATCCCACAACAACTGTGTGAGATAAAGCCCATCTGATGATATGTGGGGATAGTGACTATAGAGGTTGTTAAATAGCTCTCCCTGGATTAGTACATCGCTTTGTACAGTACAGGAACAGTACAGGAACAGTACAGGACCATTTCATGGTCAAAAATGAATTCAGTCTTAAACCTCTGCATTGGTAGGATCCTTAAAAAAAAAAAAAAATTTAGGGGAGAAATCTTTTTCCGTGTTGTTTGATACTTCCTGTTTCACATAGATGTTCCAGGACTCGCCTTCCAGGTGAAGCTTAGAGGGAAAGCCTGAGTCCATGTTCTAAACATGAGGAAAATTTAGGTGTAAAACTTATGTGGTGCACACCTTTCATCCCTGCTCTTGGGAGGCAGAGGCAGGCGGATCTCTGTGAGTTTGTGGCCACCCTGGTCTAAAAAGCGAGTTCCAGGACAGACAGTGCTACACAGAGAAACCCTGTCTCAAAAAAACAAACTAACAAAACTTATGTGAGGCTACTGTGTGGAATGCAAAAACAAAATAGTATGGGAAGACACCAAGTGGAGAAAGTGGCACATGAGTGTCAGTGTAGTCAGCAATGCCTTGGATTCTAACCTCTCTCAAGTGTGAAGTGGGAGGAGAAAAGTGCTTGGTGGCCACCAAACTGAGTCTTGTTTCCGTATGCCTTGCTCTCTTTCTTGTGCAATGGTGCTCCTAATGTCCTGAAGGTGCTCCCTTTTTGCTGTGATTCTTTTCATCCAACATCCCCCCCCTTTTTTTTTTTACCAGTCATTGCTGTGAACAAAATATTACAGAGTAACCCAGATCAAAGATGCTATGTCTCTTGAGTTTGTTTTCCTTTCCCCAATGGAGATCTGTCTGTGTTACTCCAAAAGAATAAGCAGGGTGAGTCCTAACAGGACTGTGAAGCTAGATTCAGAATGAGAGGCTGTGTGTCAGTGTCAGACCATGTCTTGTGTAGGAAAATGTACAAACATGGGTTCATTTTTCCTTTCTTTAGATGAAATCTGGCAAGGAAATGACCTGATGGAGAAAGCCCAGGGAGATGAAAAGAAGCAGTCGAGGTCAGCTGTGTTCAACTACAAAAGCATGGTTGAAAAGACAGTTGATGATACTAGTGGAGCCATTACTGTGGAAACAACACTTGTTCCATCCAGAGAAGTCATCCCTAAGTGTGACTCCTGTGAAAAGAGCTTGACATGTATCTCCGAATTCATTAGTAGCGATGGAAGCTATGCAAAAATGAAGCCCAGTGTGTGTGCTGGGTGTGGGAAATCACTCCTCCACATTAAGCCTGAGAAAACACATCCAGGAGACGATTCTTACGAGTTTAGTCAGAATGAAGATGATTACACTCTAAGTGAAGACAATATTTATCAGAAAATTCATATTTTGGAGAAGCCCTTTGAGTATGTTGAGAAATCCTTCCCAAAGAACACAGTTTTTGTTAATCACATGGAGGAGAAGCCCTACGATTGGAATGAATCTGAAATAGCTTTTCTCCAGATGTCAGACCTCAGCGTCCACCCCAGTTCTCACATGGAGATGAAACCCTACGAGTGCCGTGAATGTGGGAAGTCCTTCTGTAAAAAGTCAAAATTCATTATACATCAGCGGACTCACACGGGAGAGAAACCTTTTAAGTGTAACCAGTGTGGGAAATCCTTCTGCCAGAAGGGAACCCTCACCGTGCATCAGAGGACGCACACAGGGGAGAAGCCCTATGAATGCAGTGAATGTGGCAAGAACTTCTACCAGAAGTTACACCTCATTCAGCACCAGAGAACTCACTCGGGAGAAAAGCCCTATGAATGTAACTACTGTGGGAAGTCCTTTTGCCAGAAGACACACCTCACCCAGCACCAGAGAACACACTCAGGAGAGAGGCCCTATGTTTGCCATGACTGTGGAAAGACTTTCTCTCAGAAATCAGCACTCAATGATCACCAGAAAATCCACACAGGTGTCAAACTCTACAAGTGCAGCGAGTGTGGGAAATGCTTCTGCCGCAAGTCTACGCTCACAACCCACATGAGGACACACACGGGCGAGAAGCCCTACGAGTGCAATGAGTGTGGGAAGTTCTTCTCGAGGTTGTCATACCTAACTGTCCATTACAGAACCCACTCGGGAGAGAAGCCCTATGAGTGTACAGACTGCGGGAAAACCTTCTATCTGAACTCAGCCCTCATGAGACATCAGAGAGTGCACACCGGAGAGAAACCTTATGAATGTAACGAGTGTGGGAAACTATTCTCACAGCTGTCGTACCTCACCGTGCATCACAGAACTCATTCAGGAGTGAAACCCTACGAATGTAGTGAGTGTGGCAAAACCTTCTACCAAAATTCAGCCCTTTGTAGGCACCGGAGAATTCATAGAGGGGAGAAACCCTACGAATGTTACATATGTGGCAAGTTCTTCTCTCAGATGTCATACCTCACCATACACCATAGAATTCACTCAGGAGAGAAACCCTACGAGTGTAGCGAGTGTGGGAAAACCTTCTGCCAGAATTCAGCACTTAATAGACATCAGCGAACACACACAGGAGAAAAAGCCTATGAATGTTATGAATGTGGAAAATGCTTTTCTCAGATGTCGTATCTCACTATTCATCATAGGATTCACTCAGGAGAAAAGCCTTTTGAGTGTAATGAATGTGGGAAAGCCTTCTCTCGAATGTCGTACCTCACTGTACACTACAGAACCCACTCAGGAGAGAAGCCCTACGAATGTCCTGAATGCGGGAAGAAGTTCTATCACAAGTCAGCGTTCAACAGTCACCAGAGAGTTCATAGACGAGGGGATGTGAATGTAGTTGATGTGGGAAGGCTTCTCTAAAGGCAGGCTTCAGATGACCACCTCGGTGAACTAGAAACTCCTGTCTGGAGTGGAGCCATACTGTATAGTTGGCCCTCAGCACCCATGGGTTCCATATCCAAGGATTCAGCCAACCAGAAGTACTAGAGGAAAAGGTTTTATCTGTGTGGGATATGTACAGACATTTTTCTTGTTATTCCCTAGTAGTACAATATAACAACTGTTTCTGTTGCATTTATATGATATTAAATATTATAATCTCGAGATGAGTTAAAGCATACAGAAGGATTGTGTAAGCTGAACACAAATAGAGCATTTCACGTAGGGTACTAATGAAGTGCAGACTTTGGTGTTCAGGTGGTCCTAGAACCATACTCCCACATACCAAAGGATACTTCAGAGAGCCCACACAAATGAGCAGGACAAGTCCATGTGATGTAGATTCATCCAGAAATCCACAGAGTGGAAACCACAATTGTGAAAAGACCACATAGCAGACTATACAGGAATAAGAATGTATGAATATGTTTCAACGTGACTTCAAACTGCTTATCAGGGAGTTGACTCAACTTAAGGAATGTGGGAAGCACACTCCTTTGGAAACTGCTAATAATAAGGGATAATTTGTAAAAATTAAAAGAAGATAATCTGCTAGAAATAAGTACACTTTATAGGTACAGGATATAAAACTGTAAGTCTAGTTAGCCAAGCTTGATGCATTAAACTGGTAAACAGTTCCCTGGGAACACAGGACTTGGGGTCTCTTTTTCTTATTTTAGAAACCGTCACAGAAATCATTTGTTCAGTTTTAGTCAAGCTTGGAAAAGTGTTGTATCCTTAGTTTGTAACATATGGTAAGATTTATCCATTCTGAGTTCACCATTACTTTCTTAATATGCACTGTCACTTGAGGTAATATTTGAGAGTTACGAACTATGCTTTTTTCTTGTTCCTTGGATTTTAAAATGCATTTGATCATTGTCACAGGATTATATCATCTGTAAGGAGTCTTTTGTTGTTGTTTTCAACCATACAAAGAAGGCAGAAATGTATCTATAAAATAGGAAACTCTGAATAAGCAATTTTTAATTAAGCCAGAAGTCTCCAAGGATGAGAAATAGCTTTAGCACTTACTGTACTCTGTACAACTAAGAACTATACTTAGAAAATGCTATCTGCTGTTTGTTCACTTATTTTTTTTTTCTTACGTAGATGCTTAGGTGTGTGCAGAGCGCCAGGGCTGTGTAGCACTGTCTATGTGCTAGTGTCGTGAACATTCCTTGCTCTACCATCACTAGGTGTGTGTGTGTTCTCACACACAAATAAGGGTTGTGCAGACATCATCTGTTGCCTTCTAGCATCCCTCCTTGCTCTTTGCCTGTAGTCTGAAAGATGGGAGACAACTCCTGTTAAATTTTTTCGGTAGTGATAACCCTTTCTTGTAACCTTGGGCCCATATATAAAGTGTTAGGGGCGTATTCAGAGGTCATTCCTTGAAAGTGTTTCCTTAAAGAAGCTGAACCTTGGTGAACATCACCTTGTCTGCTGTGGTGCTTGACAATGACCCCCAAAAATGAATACAGTGTAATCATGGCCATTACAGAAAGTAGAATAAACTGGGACCTGATGTCACAGAGCCACTAAACCAGCATGACCTGTAGCCACTCCATGTTTGGACTGTGTTTATTTTCTAAGAGACTATTTGTTTCTAAGCCAGTTGACTTAGGAATATTCTGCTAGTAACAAAAAGACAGTCTACCTGGTGTAGCATTACACTTTGTAGGAGTTATGCAATTCAGAAGTGGACTTTCACTAAATCATTTATTTTGATGTGTCAATAGAGAGATTTATTATCTGTAAATTTGTAAATAATCTGAACATTGAAAATGAAGTTGAAACAAATGTGTATGCTTCCTTGGGCTGTCTTGTCATTGGCCTGTAGAATTATTTTCCTATGTGTTTGTGTGTGGCATGTGTGTGGAGGCTCGAGGACAACTTCTGGTATCTCACTTGTTTACTGAAACGGGGTGTCACTAACTGTCCGGGAGTTTATGAGTAAGCTAGACTGGCTGAGCATGCGTCAGGAGCCACCTGTCTCCAGCTCCCCATTGCTGCAATTACAAGTGCCCATGGTTACATTTTGTACATGGATTCTGGGGATGGAACTGGAGTCACCACGCATTCACAGCAGACATTCACCAACAGCCACCTACTGCCATAGCTGGCTTTTCTCATATGGGTTCTGGGAATCAAACTCAGAGCCTCATGACGGTGAGGCAGGCACTTCACCAACTAAGGCCTTGATTTCTCTTGTTTGAGATACCAGTGTTGCACTGTAGCCATGACAGGCCTTGGACTCATGGTAATCTTCCTGCCTTAATCTCCCAAGTGTGGGAGTACAGATGTGAGCCACCATGCGCAACTTGACTTGTGAAATTAACTTTTGGAAACAGACAGCAGGTCTACTTCCATTTTCTAATATATTTTGTTTGTTTGTGGCAGTCAGACTTGCACATGGATCCTTGCTTACATTTGTCAATATGTGGTGTGAGGTAAGGATCTAATTTTGTTTACTATCAGATTATTATCCTGGCACCCCATCTTTTGAACAATTTATTTTACAACATGCTATATTACTTGTGTATAAGACTCATATAGCTTCTATTTTGTTGCTCAGCACTCCCCACTCCCCTTGTATTATTCTGAATATGCTATGTAACAAAACTTAAAGTCTGGTAGGTAGTTTAGTTTGGTATTGGAACAAAAAGTTGGTAATGGTATCTACAGCAAGGCATGATGGGAAATGCCTGTAATCCCAGCACTTTGAAGATGGAAGCCGGACAATTAAAAGGTCCAGGCCAGCCAGCCTGGAGTAGATAGCTCCCCCCTCCCCCCGCCAGGAAGCTTTCCCACAATTGTATCATAACTTGATGACACAATATGTATTTGGGTGTGTGTGCTTGTGGAGGTCCAAGGTGAATACTGGATGTCTCTCCTTCATCACTGTTATTTTCTGAGACAGGGTCTCACTGGACCTGACTCTTACAGATGCATGTCTAATTTGGCTGGCCAGTGAGCTTCAGGGATCCACCTGTCTCTACTCTTAGCCTCTATGACTTGAGCTACAGGTATGTATCACCATGCCCAGCTTTTTACATAGATTTCAAAGATCAGAACCCAGGTCCTCCTACTTGTACAAGAGGCTCTTTACTGACTGAGCCATCTTCTCAACCCACAATACACATGTAAAGAAAAGGTAAAGATATACTACCACCAGGACATTTCGTGTGAGCCTTGGATTTGCCCTTTCTTCAATCCTGTCATCTCTTACTGGACATAATTGTGATCCAACTCTAGCCAGGAAGCCACATGACTGCCCCCCCAAATTATGGCATGCATAGAATTCTGCCTCTACTTAAACAAAATGACCAAAAAAAAAAAAAAAAAAAAAAAAGACATGTAAAAGGAAAATTCTCTTTACCACACAGGTAACTATGAACAATCAATTGCTCTCACATATATGAAAGTGGAAAAAACAAAATCTATCCATTGGATTTTTTAAAATACATTTATCTGTATGTGCATGAACACCTTAATGTATGTATGCACACTGTGTGGACAGAAGCCCATGGAGTCAGAAGATTTTCAGGTCCCTTGGAGCGAGTTACACATGGTTTTTGGCCACCACGTGATTGCTGGGGTTCTCTGTTAACAGCTGAACATCTCTCCAGACCCCTCTTCTGTTGGATTTAGAGTTTATGATGCTTGTGAAAATGATGGGCTAGCACAGGTGGCTGTTGCTACCACCTGAAGCTGGAGATAGCATAGATGCTGTAACAGTGTGCACACAGGGATTACAGAGCAGGTGAAGCACTTTAGGAAAGTGTGTGATACCAGAGGCACTAAAGAACACCTGACCTGAGTCTTACAAAGGCCTTTCCTTTCTATACAACCTTTTAGAGAAACATATTCAAGGTTCTTGGGAGATGGCTCAGTTGATGATGTTTGCATGAGTTTTTTCCCCAGTACCTGCTGGGGCTGGGGAGACCAGAGAATCCCTGGGGTGCACTAGCCTGCCAGCAAATTGATGAGCTCTAGTGAGAGACCCTGTCTCAAAAATAAGGTGGAGAGTAACTGAGGGAAATACCTAACACCAGCTTCAAGCCTGCATATGCACGCATGTGCATACATGCAAACATTTTCATATACATACCGTTTTTAATGTATGCCTGGACCATGCATGCAGGAGCCTTCAGAGGTCAGAGGAGGGGTCAGATCCCCTAAAACCAGAGTTACAGATGATTGTGAGCCATGTGGATGCTGGGAACTGACTCTGGTTCCTTTAGAAGAGTAACCATAACTACCGAGCTGTTTATCCAGCCCCACATATTAAAAACAGCAAAACAAAAGCCAAGAGACACATATTCTAATTGTAACAGGTGAAATGATGAAGATTATGTCTGGAATGGAGAAAGCAGATAGGAATATGGATGAAGCAAATTTCAGTGTAAATTGTTCTGTTGCTTTTATTTACATGTATGGGTGCTTTCCCTGTGCCTGCAGAGCCAGGAGGAGTCGCAGAGGTCTGTGAGTTACCATGTGGGTGCAGGTCCTCTGGAAGAGCAGTCAATGCTTTTTTTTCTTTTTTTCTTTTTTTTAAGATTTATTTATGTGTACAGTGTTCTGCCCACATGTATGTCTGCACGCCAGAAGAGGGCACCAGATCTTATTTCAGATGGCTGTGAGCTACCATGTGGCTGCTGGGAATTGAACTCAGATCCTCTGGAAGAGCAGCCAGTGCTCTTAACTGCTGAGCCATCTCTCTTGCCTCTTGTTTTTTAGACTACAACTCATTACATATCTCATTTCGTTCTGGAACCTAGATCTTCCTACCATTGCCTCCCATATAGGCATATGTCACCATGCACAACTCTGCATGGTGTGCTTTGAGGCGGGGGTGCATATCAACAGGAGCCCAGGTATTGATTGGGTGGGATGAATTTTGGAGGTTTTACAATTCATATCTAACTTAAAATCTGGGGAAAAATAATGAACAAGGAAGATAAAACTTTGATATAACTAAAACTTTAAAACCACTTTATTACATAAGCAACCAATTAAAGGGAGGAAGGAGGGAAGACGAGAGAGAGTACAGTATCTGAAGAAATCAAGTAAAAAAAAAACTTATAAAGGCTGAGAAAACAGAGGTGCAAGAAAAATGAAAAGAGGTATGTAGAGGGAGAGGATGTACAGGCATAATGACCCTCCAGATGTCACCTTTGGTTGGTCACATTTCCTACCCCACAACATAACTCCAGCTGCACATCAATGGGGAGCTTTAGCAAGGACCTGTTTGACCTTTCTCAGTAGGTTAAGACCTGATAGTTATCCATTTTATGTCTTTTGAAGCATCTACTTCCTATAAGTCTGGGGTATTTTTTTGCTTGAGGTACAGTATCTGTGTAGTCTAGGCTGGCCTCAAACTCGTGGAGCTGAAAGTGACCGTGAACTCCTGATCCTCCTGGCTCCACCTCCCCAATGCTGGGATGACAAGCATATACCAACCATGCCTGGTTTATGGAGTTGTAGGGTTGAAAAGTTGAATACTGGGCAAGCGCTTGTACCCACTGAGCAACCTCCCTTGCCCAGCCTGCTTCTTGTTTTAATGGAGACACTAGTTTCCTTTATTCCAATGACTCAAATCATATCTGCATATTTTTCAAGCCCACTGGGAAAAGATCCTATGACAGAGACTGAATAAGAAAAGCCAACTTAAAGGGAATCCTTGGGAACTCTGGGGGTGGTCATGCCTTTGTGGATTGAGTAGGTAAACACCATAGCAAGGGAGACCCTGAGAGAAGGTCAAGGCATGGGTCTTGCACACAGAAAAGGGAGACCTCTTAAAGGTTAGCCAAATTAATCCCTGTGGTGTCCCATGTGTGTTGTTTCAAATTCATGGCAGCAGGAGACATCCCAGCAAGACATGGTGGGCACTGGCCAAATGCATGATGTGCCATGCAAGAATCGATTCTGGTTTCTTAGAAGGGAAAAAAGTCAGAAAGGAGATGGGTCTTGCAGAGTGAGCATCCCTGATGGACACCAAGGTAGAGCAAAAAGCAGAGTCCAGTTCCAAAGCTTATTTCTCCATCTTTATTAAAACTAGGTAGGTCCTCCTGCCCATAGCAGAGGGGCAGGGTGGAAACCGCTGGGGACCAGGAGGGATGAGAATGGTGCCCTCCCAGCCCACCCTGCCCTGGCTTTTTCTGAAATTCATGTCCCAGAAGACAAGGAAGGAGCATAAAAAATGGGACAGAGGCCACTGCTGAGCAATCAGGACCCTTGCCTTCCCACTCTACCTCAGCTGGCCAGGTAAGTTCTGACCATCACCACCCCAGCTCTCCTCCCACCCATGGACTACCCACCCAGCACCTAGCAGTCTGCCTGTTAGCTCTTGGGTGTCTCTACACTACAACAAAGGATCTAGGTCTAAAGGGGAATGCAGCTGGAGATCTCACTTCTTTAGCCCTCAGTCACACTGGCCCAGAATTCATGGAGGGTGGGAGGGGCTTGTGCGAGCCACACCTCAGATGCCAGTAGTCCAGATTGGAGAGATAGCTATGCACTGTGCAAGGGCCTTGCATAGTAAGGCGCTGTGAGCTCAGGTCCACGTGATGCCTTATGTGGAGTACCACTGTGCAAGTCACCAATCCCTCTGTAGGCCACGGACCCACCCGTGGCAGAAACACTACCTGCTTCTAGTGTAGGGTGATTACAGAAGCAGAGTTAGGCTTGCAGAAGATGTAGGGCCCTTATTAGAAGCTGAGTTTCCTGGACCCACCCCAGTGCCGTGAAAGGCTGAGCACAGGGAGCAGTCACCTGCTCCAGGGAGAGCGCTGCTAGGGAACTAGTCTGCCCACACCAGGCACTCCGAAGATGTCCATGTGTGCCTCCTGCAGCTACTAGAGAACCAACAAGCTTAGAGGGGATACCAATAACAAACCCACCTTGTAGCCAGTGCTCGACAGACCTGTGTTTAGGGGTTGGAGTAAGGATTTTCAAAGAATAAGGCTTCCAACTCCCCTGGGATCTAGTCAGCATCTGCAATCTGGCTACCCATTTGGTATCTTGCTTTTTCAACTCCTCCCCGGTCTTCAGGCCTTACAAAAGATGGAAAAAACACCCACAGTCGACAGAACACAAGCTTTTCCTGTTTGCAACTCCATCCCTCCGAAGCCTATTGAGGTCCCCGCCTGGCACGAACCATGTTTTTAAAACTTTCTGGACACACTCAAGTGGCGGGAAGACAGTCCCTGAATCTCCTAGGGAGAGTGGGAAGAAGCCAAACCCACCAAGAAACCCAGATGAGGAGCAGAGCAGCCGAATGATCTCTCTCTCTCTCTCCCGATGCTAGGGCTTCCCCCTTGCTTGTCAGAAAGCCGGGTGCCAGACTCCTAAGCCGTTGGCTCTACGGGCCACCCGATCGTTCTCCCTGCAGCACAGATACAGGGATGAGGTGCTCTTGATCAGGGTGTCGGCCCGTGTTCACCCAAGCGAGATCTGAAGCTCGGGGCGATAGGGCCCACAGGCACCCAAGATTGGGAATCCTCAGCCCGCCTCGAGGAGCGGGAGACACCGCGCGCTTCCACCAACCTCACAGGACACTTTCCTCATAGGCGCCCGAGGGCCCGGCGAACGCGGCGGGATCGGAGCCAAAGCTGGTTCCGCCTGCGAACTCGAGTAGCGTTCCGGACCCGGAGGCCGACCCCGGTGGTGGCGGTGGCGGAGGCGGAGGGGGGGGCCCCTCGGCAGGGGGCTGGGGCCTGGGCGGGGGGGCGCGGG